CTGAAGCGGCTATTGGTGGAGAAGTCCATTGACGCGCTAGCGCCAAGCCTGGAATTCATCAATGACCTGGAGGAGATTTGCATCAATGAGCCGGACCTTCAATTCAATGTCCCCAAGAATATGGAAGAACAAGACAACGTTCACCGCTCAATCAAGAAGGAAGCAGGAGCGCCAGAACGAAGGTCATAGTGGACAAGAAGCATTTGGGAACGTTGATGCCAATGATCTGCGTCTACGGTGGTATACGGTCTCCGAGCTCAGCGATTTTATTTGCGAGCTATGCAGGAATGAGATGCAGAGGAACAAATCAAGGGTACTCGAATCCGACACGTGCGTGAACTGCTGTGCGAACTGGAATGCCAGCACGAACGGTGTCGTGAGATCAACGAATGGGGGGGAGCTCTATACACGACTTTTCGCAGAGTGCAAAGTCGCGATCCCGGGTCTCCAACATCTCATGGTGGACGTCAACAATGTTCAGGCCATGATCACGATTACACGGGAACTTGCATACTCCAAATTGAAGAAGGAGCTGTCCCACGTGGGGTTCGTGAGCATGACGTTGGATCAGGCGGCACAGTTTTACAGTCACAACAAGCATGGAAAGCAATTGTGCGCAACCAGGGATGTGGTCATGTGCAGGAATTCCGAAGGGATTGAGGAGAAGACCACCATCTACGTGATTGACAGGGATCTTGGCAACGTGGCCTACTCATCATGGATCAAGAGCGTGCTTGATCAGGGGACGATGTATGACCTCCTGGGACAAACTACCAATGAGGAATCCTTGGGGGACGTCGCTGAAATGGTGTTCGGATTCTTCGAAGTGATGTCATACTTCCAACACGAACTTCCCTTGTGGAGAGATGTGTGGAAGATCAAGAGCAAGTTCGAGCAGTCCATCGTGCGGCACCTCGTGGGGAACGTGAACTACACGACGGGACAGAACCGGAAACGGAACAAGCCTTCTGCTCAGCTCGGGACACCTACAAAAGAGGTATTGGACATCATGAACATGATCAAGCCCAAGCATCCATACTCCCTGGTGATCGAGCAGGCCAACCAAGGGTCCAAGAGGAAGGCATCAGAGGGTGGAGACGATGATCGCGGCCCAGGGCCAGATCGGAGTCGAAGCTCTCAGCCCAAAGGAGAGAAGGCGTCAACGTCAGCTCGGGTGGCGATGATGACGCTCATGAACCCAACATATCCGGTGATGCCAGGCGGGCTCAGAAGGAAGCGAAGGCTAATGCGGCAGCACAAGGAAAGGGTGGTGGAATGGAAGATGATCCCGAGGATGATGATATGGGCACGCAGGGGTACACATCCGGCAACGTGTCCGAAGAGGAAGATAACGAATGGGATTATCGCGACAATGACATGGCCGCGCGAGACATTATCAGCTCCTGCCTCAGGCGAAAAGCGAACAATCGACAACGACTTGGCGCGCTATGCCAACGTCACTGAGCTTGATCGTGATGGTATTGTTTTACCATCTTCTGAGGATGTGATATCTCGTTCTCAGAATGTTCGATCGAGGACTTTCAGAACAGTCGAGGAGCGCAACCAATTCATTCGAATTTCCAAGGAAGAAATGAAGCTATTGGTCAGCGAACGCAAGCATCCAGTGGGGGACATTGTTTACAGGTGCTTCGCACTGGCGTTCAACTGCAAGTACATATCTTTCGCAAGGACCTGGCTAAACCTTGGTAAACCTGGGTATGAGGTCAACGTGAGCGCTATTATTGCGGCCACAGACCCGGGCAAATGTGACGGACCTCTGCTTGATTGGTGCATCCGGAAGGGACACTGGCTTGCGGACGAGCACTACAGGAAGTATGCCCGAGCACGAGACGCCCAACACAACTTGGACGAAGAATTCCGTCGACGTATCACAAGGATGGCCATTGTGGATCGGCCTGCGTGATGTCAAAGTGGATCATCGTTGCTTTTGCGGCATGGTGTGGGCCAGACCCCATCCATTGCCAGCAACACATTGATCTCACTGCGATGGAATGAATTACGATATGATGTGATTTCGTTTGTCCAAGGACCATGTTTATGTATGTATTTACATATTCCGACGACTATGGCATTCCGGATATTCAGGGATGGGCACTATTACCTCATGGATGATTTCATTTCCTTACATTATTCGTGGTATCTGGGATGGCTTTTTTTGCATATATATTGCTCGCCAATTTCTTTGCCGGTGATATACAGATGGCTAACGACCATGCGCTGCTATGGAGTTCTTTGGCCAACCCATTTCGGTGGATGACAGCTGCGTGATGCGCAAATGCGGCAGCTGGGATCTTCGTTGTGGTAGTGATCTGCGGATGCACGCGTTTTGGTTTAATCGAACCCGGCTGAGTTTCACAATGAATAAACGGCGATGCAATAGTGAGTGCAAGAATGTTCGACACAGTTTCGTAATCAGAGCCGTGGCCATTGGGACTTGTTGTGATGTTTGGACCGCATGATGAACAGTGCGACCCAAATGGGGGATGTTAAAACCCTCCTGGCCCCGTGCCTAAATTGGGAAGCCGTTCTGAGGTCCATGTTCTTGTTGGTTGTAATATTCCAATGGACGCCACATTTGGCTCAAGATACCAGTAGGCCTTAAGGTTGTGCATGAACTTACGTTTGCCTGTGATCGATCTGTGTGAGAGAAAACAGGTGCAATCGCGCTGCTGATATCGGACGTGTGCGTGCGGTTATTGGACAATACCCTTACAACAGTTTATTCAGCTGGAAGCTTGGTGGACAGCGTCCCACGGGACGTCATCTTGCGCTCTTGACACTTGTTGACCATTTTGCCATACACACCAGCAGCAAATTTTGGCTCTTTCCGCAGGGCTTGGCCCCCTTACTGGTTCGGCGCAAGTTGAACATTTGTTTGGCAGCCTTTGGAGGAACGTCTTCAGCTCTTCCTTCGCTGGCTGGTGATGAATCATGAAATATTCTGCTTATGGAAAAAAGGGCGCGGGCCTATCTCTGGGAGCATTTTAAGACGTTGGCCCTGCGTTCTGAGAGTTTGTTTCCCAAAGCAAGGTGCGTGACCAGAATACAATGAGGACTGTGTGCCAAATCGGTTTCCCGAACTGGCACCAAGCCCGCCCGCGTGCACAACATCTCGACGTCACGACTCGGTAACTCTCACACAGTGAACTGTGAAAAACAATGTGAAGCAGTAAGCCGGTGTGCTCAGTTTTTTCTTTTTGCGGGAATCAACAAGATTATGTGCCGAAAGGGCAGCAGGCTGCGCACGAACGCAGTCTGTTGCCTACGGGCATGCCATTCTCGTTGGATTGACGGCGCGCTCCTACTCCAAAATGCCAAGCCTCTCTTTGCCGGTCTGTGCGGGGAGGGCCAGCACCAACGCCACATCCGACCAAAAAACGGCCGGCCACGAAACAAGATGGCAAGCTGGGTCGAGACAGCAGCAACAAATCACAGACGCGGCGGATGGCGGCGCGCGGGCTCGCGCGACGGCGGATGGCTCCATCGTGCTGAGCCTGCGGCGCGGCCCGGGGGCCTACGGGCTGCTCTCGCGAGTGGACAAGCAGCTGACCCGCGAGCCGGGACTTCGACTACAACCAGCCGCTGATCCGCGAGGGGCCCCAACGACTACATCCTGCCGCGGCACCGGTAGAAGAAGCTCGTTCGTAGTTCGAAATCAGTCACGCATGAGAGGAACCGGGTCGTCACTCACACCCGACTCAATGACGAACAGTGCAACGGCCGGCCCATGTAAAGAAACTACTGTGGGCGAGACAAGGCGCAAGACAATTCATGTTGATGGCTCCCAATACTGACACATGCCAAGCACAAGAATAAATGGAGCCTGCGCCACGCCAAACACAAATTTAATACACTAGCTGGTGCAGTCTCATATTGTCGATCCATCCATCTGGTGTGTGAAGAGGTCAAGTTAAGGGTCCACCTGAGCATGTGACAGAAGCATCACTGCTCCAGTGAGTTCGCCTCACACCAGAAGATGCACACAAGACTGCCGTTCAAAACAGCTTGTGTCTAAGGTTTTCCTTGGCTAGGGTTTGTATTTTGCTTGAGTCCATACGCACCCCTAAGGCTAACATGCTTGCAGCCTCTGGTTTGTTACCGCATTGCCTGCGCAATCCTGCAGTCTGCGTGCGAATGTCACAGCTCAACCAGGATACTCAGTTTGCTTATGCTTGGGCCCTATTTTCGCTACAGGGGGGGGGGGGGCTGGGAGAGATAGGCTCTATTCTGTTCTGCAGCCGCTCTGTGAGGGTAGTAGGCTTTGCAGGTTTGAGGGTTTGAGGGCCTGAGTTTGAAGGTTGTTTTTTTTGGTGGGGGGGGGGGCGTGTTTTGAACACGGATCCCAAAATGAAACCAATTCGATTTTAGCATTGCTTTTTTGAAGCCAAACTTCTTGGATTCTGACGGTAAGGCACAACCAGTTCAAGAGTAGTGTTTCCAGACTTGGAGCCTAGCCGTAACACACAATCGAAAGTATCCACTTCAGCAACTGGAGTGGACATCACATCGAAAGGCAAACTGTTGAGGAGCAAAAGAGTTGGAAAGTCGAAAAATTCTGAGCAAAACTAGCAATCAAAGTGTAGAACAGCTTTGAGCTTTCAATTTTGGATTCTGGGGCAAACGCGAAGCCGCAAAACAAAAACGAAAGGATGGGTTCGAAATTCGTTAAGTCGGTGGGGCTTACGTGATACCTACTCCAGCGTCACCGCACCGAGAACAATCATGTGCGCAGCGCCCCCTGAACCCATGTTTTGTTTTGCATTTGTTTTATTGCAAGCTCACCGATTTGGGGGACAACCAGCTCACCAAGTAGGTCCTATACTAGGGAAAATGTCATGGCTCCCCTTGCTATGACTCTAAATGAGGGGAACCCCTGCAATGGTTGGTTTCCTTTCGGGTTTTCCTTTTAGTGCCAACCCCAAAAAAAGGTTCCAAGAGATGAATTTTAAATTTCCAGGTGCTTTGGGCGAGTGAGTCAGGCTTCGTAGAGATGGCAGCCAAGCTTGTGAAGTTCTACATGGTCGAGGAGCTGGGCAATGAGCTTCAGGAGTCCTGGCGGATGGAGCCTGATCTCGCAGTGGCAATCCTTGTGGCACTTGTCACTGGAGTTTGCTTTCTGGCTTTGACTTGGGCTTGGGAGTTGGTGTTTCTGTTCTTGTTTGGTTGTGAGGTGGTTTTTCAATGCCGGTAAGTCGCCTTGATTCGTTTGGAGTCAGCTTTCCTTGATGCGCCGGATGGTTGCTTCCCATGGGCAAGGATCTGGGGGGCAGCAAGTTGCACGAGCTGTTCCCCAAGGATGTGCGCCTGGTGCAAAGGAGGGATCACATCAAGCAGATGACGGATGGTCTGGCCGAATTTATGGAGCAGCTGTCCACCTTAAGGAGTTTGACAGGGTTCCTTATATTTTCCCGTGGTTGTGTTTGGATATTGCCTCTTTCGGCATTGTAAAACCTCAAAGTGGGTTTCCTTTCACCAGCGTCATGTTTAAGCTGTCCACCCTGAGGATTGCCTGTATTGCGACGCCCAAGAATGTGCGCAGGACTTATGCGCAAAGGGCAGCGGAAAAGGTGAGCACGCAAGATGAGGCCAAGAAAGCAGAGATGGACCAACAGCGTTCACATGGTTGCAGAAGAGCCCGTGCGACAGCGCAGGGGCAGAAGGAATTGGGCGAGGCGGAAGACGAAGAGAATGAGGACGAAGAGGAGAAAAGGCAAAGGAAGGAAGCGGAAATGAAAAAGGAGAGGGCGAAGGAGGCGAGGGAAGCTTGGGTGGAGAAGGTGCTCGCGGAGGGGCCCAGCCAGCCAGCCAGCCAGCCAGCCAGCCAGCCAGCCAGCCAGCCAGCCAGCCACGCACGCACGCACGCACGCACGCACGCACGCACGCTCGCACAGGAACGCGCGGGCAAGCACGCACGCAGAGGCACGCGAACACACGCACGCACGCGCGGGACACGCGCACGCTCGCGCAGGCACACATGCACAAGCAACGTGCACAGAGACGCCCGCGCGCACGCACAAGCACGCGCCGAGACGCACAGAGACGCACGCACGCATGCACAAGCAATCACAGAGACGCACAAAGACGCGCAGAGATGCACAGAGACGCACAAAGACGAACACAGGCGAAAAGAGACGCACACAGAGACGCGCGCGCGCACGCACAAGCACGCACAGAGACGCACAGATAGAGACGCACACAGAGACGCACAGAGACGCGCAGAGATGCACAGAGACGCACGGAGACGCACAGAGACACACAGAGACGCACAGACACGCACAGACGGACAGAGACGCACAGAGACGCGCAGAAACACACAGAGACGCACAGAGACACACAGAGACGCACAGAGACGCACAGAGACACACAGAGATGCACAGAGACGCACAAAGACGCACAGAGACGCACAGAGACGCACAGACGGACAGAGACGCACAGAGACGCACAGACGGACAGAGACGCACAGAGACGCACAGAAACACACAGAGACGCACAGAGACACACAGAGACGCACAGAGACGCACAGAAACACACAGAGACGCACAGAGACACACAGAGACGCACAGAGACACGCAGAGACACGCAGAGACACACAGAGACGCACAGAGACACTCAGAGACACGCAGAGACACACAGAGGCGCACAAAGACGCACAGAGACGCACAGAGACGCACAGACGGACAGAGACGCACAGAGACGCACAGACGGACAGAGACGCACAGGGACGCACAGAGACACTCAAAGATACAGAGACGCACAGAGAGACGCACAGAGACAAACAGAGACACACAGAGACACGCGGAGACACACACACCTTGCAGTCGCTGTAGTGTTTGCCATAACTGCAAATATTCAACAAAAAGCGAAAGCCCCGACTAGCAAACCACCAATCCAGACCACCAATTAAGTGTAATTAACCTGATGTGTGTGTGTGTGTGTTTCTATGTGTCTCTGTGCTTTGGGTCTCTGTGTGTCTCTATCTCTCTCTGTGTGTGCCTCTCCGCGTGTCTCACCATGTGTTTCCGTGTGTCTCCATGCTTCTCTCTTTTCTGTGTGTTCTCCTTGTGTCTCCGTGGGTGTGTCTCGGTGTCTCTCTCTCTCTGCGGCTTGGTGTCCCTGTGGGTGTGTCCCGGTGTGTCTCTGCGTGTCTCTGTGCGTCTCTGTGCGTGTCTCTGTGTGTCTCTGTGCGTGTCTCTGTGTGTCTCTGCGTGTCTCTCTGAGTCTCTGTGCGTCTCTGTGCGTCTCTGTGCGTCTCCCTGTGCGTCTCTGTGCGTCTCTGTGTGTGTGTGTGTTTTTTTTGGATCACTTGTTGCATGAATGCACGTACATGTGTCAACGTCATAAATCATGGCGTGTTATTTGCGTGTGTGTGTGTGTGGGTGACAAATCAATTATCAGTCACAAGTCTTTGTTAATGTTTACCTTTGTGTGGCTTAACCAACCATCAACTCACAGTTTTACATGATTGACTGACCGACTCACAGGTTAACAGAGTGAGTGTTAGTCTGACTCAGACATGTTTCTGCGTGATTCCGGCATGAAGCTCATGTTGTGTGAGTAGCTTGGAGCTCTCTGCGGGACATCGGCGTGGTTTCGGCGTGATTCTGGCATGATTCGGCGTCAGTCTTAAACCGTGGATTCGGCGTGAATCCAGCATGTTTTCAACATCGGTTTGCTAGGTGTCAGCTACAGCACCGGGTCTGAAAATTATTTAGCACTAGCATGCATATTTGTTTATTTGACGAATGGTGTGCACTCGCACCCCTTTCCCTTTGGTCGGCTCTCCCACCGGTAGGCCGGTATTTCAGCCTGCTCAGTTTGTTCGGTTTCCTGCGCGTGGGTCACTGTGCCCCACGCTAGAGAGAGAGCATCTCTTTTGTAACAGGGTTTTTGTTCGGCGATGTGGGTTTGAAAGAGATCGCATGTACAATGCGCATAACATGGGGATCTAAAACGGCGTGGTTTCCATAATCAGACAAGTTCGACATCAGCCGGGCTCTAGAGCTTGGCGGCCTATAAATCCAAATCGCCAATTTGGAAATCCAATTTCAAACTTCAGATTTACCTTTGGGTTTGGTTTTGACTGCAGGCATAACCATGTCGTTTTCGAAAGTGGCTGATATTGAATTCGTGCTGTTTTCATGCTGATGCCATCTTGATGTTGGATTCATGTTGGATTCATGTCGGATTCAGTCATTTTCGCGGGACTGCAGCCCCGGCCCGCCTGACACTGCTGGCTCGGGCTGGGGCTGCGTAGCCCACCGTTGGGTGAATATGTGGCCGATGTGAGAGTGACGTCGTATTCATACGGCTGTCATGTCAGATTCCCCTTTGTCTTCCTACTGCATGCGAGTCAAGTTGATGTCATGCTGCGTGTGACTGGGTAAAATGTGCTTATTGCGTTCATTCAGTTTTCATGTCACATTCATGATGTGTGTACCTACGTTTACTAAAAAGCACCATGGGGCAAAATCACCAAACAATCGGAGTCAGGTGAAGGAGTTTGGCCCCAGAGTTCCAAACATATGCTGGCTGAACAAACCAAAACGCAATTCCAAAAAGGGGCAAAAACCAAGAATAGCAAACCACCAATCCAAATCGCCAAGTAGAGCAGCCAAGTTGAACACACACACACACACAAGCACAAACACGCCAACACACATGAGCGTGAGCCTAAGGTTGAGCCAACGTCCGAAACGACTGCGCCAAAGGCTGCAGCGAAAAGCCCCGCAGCAGCGAAAGCCGCAAGGGCCGACAAAGCTGACAAGGCCACAAAGGAGACCTTGCCAATAGCATTGATTTTTCCAGGGGAAGGCGGTGAGTATGTCAACATGTTGGATGGCGTGAAGGACAACGCAGAGGTGAAGGAGATGCTTTCCCAGGCCAAAGAAATTTTGGGATATGACCTCTTGGATATGTGCCTGAAGGGGCCAGCGGACAAGCTGGCTGAAATCAAGTACTGCCAGCCGGCCATGTTTGTTGGGGGCCTCGCTGGCATTTGCAAGCTGAAGTTCCAGAACAAGGCCGCGGCAGAGCAGCCGCGGTGCATGGCTGGACTATCCGTGGGCGAGTACACGGCGTTGTGCGCAGCGGGAGTGCTGAGCTTTGAGGACGGCCTGCGGTTGGTGAAGCTGCGTGGGGAGGCCATGCAGGAGGCTGCCCAGGTGGGGAAGCAGGCAATGCTGTCGGTGGCTGGGTTGGAGCAGCAGGTGCTGGAGCAGTGCTGCGCGGATGCAGAAAAGCAGGAGCCTGGCAGTGTGTGCCGCATCGCCTTCGTCCTCGCTCCCAAGTTCTTCTGCTGCGCGGGCACAGAAAACGCGGTGAGCAAGCTGAAGACTTTGGCGGACAGCAAGGGCGCACTGCAAGCCAGGATGGAGAGCGGCAGTGCCTACAACACCTCCCTCATGCAGCCCGCGCAGGGGAAGCTGGAGAAAGCCCTGCAGGAGGCTTTCCCCAAGATGAAACCGCCCAGCTGCGATGTCTACATGAACGTCACCGGTCAGCCCCTGCCTGCCGGGACGGACCCCAAAGTCATCCTCAGGCTCTTGCAGAAACAGCTCACCAGCCCCGTCCTGTGGAACCCGATCATTGAGAAGATGATCCAAGATGGGGTCACGGAAGTTTACGAGTGCGGGCCGCTGAGCCAGCTGAAGGGCCTGATGCAGCAAATCAACGCCCAGATGTGGAGCAAGACATTTTCCATGGAGATTTGATTGTGAATGCTGATGCCTCCGAGGAGATAAAGCTACCGGGCCCGTTCGCGACTCAGGGGTTGAGATGAAACGGGCCTATGCGGTTTCTGCAAGACACACAAAATCACAAGCACACACACACACAGACACACAAACACAGACACACACACACACACACACACATACAGAGACACACACAGAGACACGCACACACAGACACAGACAGACACACACACACAGACACACATACACACAGACACACACGGAGACACACACACACACAGACACAC